TTCTTGTAATAAAGCATTTACCATTCTCACCAGATGTCAGTCCTTCCAGGTAAACCATACAGGAAACATGACTAGATGAGCTTCTTCTACTTTATTGTAAGGCTACATTAACAGAATCTTGCAAGTTTGAAAGTACCTGCCACCCTCCCTATTTACCGCCTGAGTAGTTAGGGTGTGTCCTTCCTAAGTGTCTTTTTCTGGCTGTTACTCTGTTGCAGACTCCTTTCTCTTTTATATGATTGTTCTCTAGGCAGCATCTCTTCCCCCCATCTTCCAAGTTCACCCTCATATTCCATCACACCAGTCAACCAGTCCATCTCTGGTTGTTCTTATTAACCAGGATAGGGAAAGATCATAGAGGGCCTCACCTCTCCAAGAAACCTGTTACTCCTTCAAGCTATGTCATTTGAAATGCATCCTGTTTAACTAGATAAGCCTATGCCAAAACTATACCTTCTGGTACTGCTTTAATTGTAGAGTCTAAAATTATGATTTAATCCACAATATTCCATGCAAATTAGTCACAGTGAGCTGCACAGCAGTCAGCTTCTTCACCCCTGGAGCCAGAATGTAGAAAACCTCTACATGAAAGCTTACATTTTTGGCTCACTTGGAGTGGGTACCATGTCATGGAGAATTAGACTTTTTGCCATCATCACTGTACGGACTGTAACCGAAGCTTGGTGATATTCATATCCAATCACTTAGAAAAATACATTAAAATAGGGCACCCATAGCTAATCACTGGTCCTGTATACATGACATGCTCAGACGTATCATTTGGTAAGTAGGTGGGAACATATCATGCAAAGTGCAAAGTGGATCCAAGCAACAAACCCTAAAGGCATTAATTTTACTCACAAATAGATGCAGGTTTTCTGGGAGCTATACTAATTCTCCTTGAATTGTCTGAACTTTTTACCCAAGGGCTCAGTGTCCCTTTCAATATTTATGATTGCGACAAAGTAATTTTTATGGAGCCTTTCTAGGCACTTTCCTCAGATGATCACAAGCAAATAATGGAATATCAGATCAACTAATTAAAAGGGGGGGGGTTGCTACAGTTGTTTACTAGGTGGAGATAGCACTGGTATTGGAGTTTAGCCAAAGTAAACAATTAGCTTGCTGCTTTTCTTAACCAGAGGCCTAAAGAAATTGAGGGAACAAACTTAGAAGATTAGTACCTCCAAAATCCATATTTCCAAAATAATTTTGGAATTTAATGACTGATATCTTTTAAGGTTATAGAAATACTTTGTATTAGTTTAAATACTAGATTAAGAGGCGAATGTATTATATATTTGTACCTGTACTAAAGAAAGTCAGAAGTTATTCCTCTTCTTCCTTTTTACTTTTTCTTTTTTGCACTTTAAATTTCATTCCTGTCCTGATCTTTTCCCTTATTCAAAGTTTTTTTTTCTGTTTCCTTATATTTTACTCTTTGTTGAAACTTAATAAAGTTCTTTTAAAAACAAACAAAAGAAGAAGAAGATTAGTACCTACATAATTAGGAACTAAGTGTGTTTCCTATGAGGCTTTTAAGCTCTAAATTTAGTCAATTCCTAATCGATCTTGCTGGCTGGAAATTATGGGAGTTGAGGTCTACAACTGGAGGTTACCAGAGTGGGAAGGACATGTTTATGGGGTTACGAGTGCATCAAGAATGCATACTTTTATCCTGCTTAGAAGCTTTTTGGAGGAGGGTCAAGAAAAGAATGACAAGTAATCAACAGCATTATCTTCAGGGCAGTTTTTTTCCCCCTATTCATTCTATTTTGAGATGCTAATTAGATGAAACACAACTGATAGTTTTATACCAAGAGGATTTTTTATATTTGCTTTCTCATTTCAGAATCTATAGAGTCATGTTCTATTCAGTAAACATAAAAAGAGGCAAACACAGAGAGAATAATAAATAACATAGATCTATCTTACAAAATGTTGTTAACATTTCTTGATTGGTATGAATTTGTCTTCAGAGAAAGTAAGCTTGCACAATTATGAGGTTTCAAAAATTACACAACCCATCACATCAGAAATGAGATGCACACAGCCGCATACATATATAACAAAAAATACAAGAACGGAGAAAAATCAGCTGTGATGTTTGCTGGATGGCTAATACCATTAACTTGGAGTTACCCAACCAGTGTTAATTTTATATATATTAAATCAATAGTAATGTTATGTTTATATTAAATAGAAGTACATTGCTATCAAGGGTCACAGCAGACCTCCTTTAAGAGGCATTTCTGTATGGAATAAATAAATAAATAAAAACATGAGATAGCATGTTTGGCACTTCTTTACTTGTACACATGCATTCCCAGATCAGTTAACAGTTGCTCACCATTATGCTAGGATTTACTTGCATGAATTACTGTATGAATCAGTCAGTGTATGCACCTCCCTGCCACAATTTCTGGAATGTTAATTGTAAAATATCAGTATCATGACTTACATGGCAATATATCTTAGAAACAAAGGCAAAGGCAATTATTTCAGCATTCTTGTCCCTGAAATGTCACTACCTATTGCTGCCCACACACACTAAAACACATTTCTGGTTCTTAATAACATATTTTTTTACAGCAGCTATGTTACACAGTGGTCTGCCAAATCAAATGCTGTCTTCAAAAGGCTGAAATTAAAAAGGATAAGAGTATCTCATATTGCATTTAATTTAAGTTAATTCTACATTTAATTTAATATTAATTATTTTGGTTAGAGCCATAATATTAACATGCTACTTCTGGTTGAGAAGACCTTTTTAACACAATATTTAAACTGTAATTATTTGAATAGAACTAAGTCCTACTAAGACCAGTGGGATTTATTTCTAAGATACTGATGGCGTGAGATAAAAGCCAATTATTTAAAGTGCTAAATAGAAAAAGCTTGCCTGCTTTGTCAAGTGGCAGATAGCCTTGGTTATTTACACAAGAAACATGGTATGAAACTGTATTCTTTCACATGTAAGGTTTATCACTGACATGTTTGTCAATGTCTCTGTTTTCTCTCCTGTGCTTAATTAGCCTGATCTTGCCCAACTTACGATCGTTCATGACAATAAAAACTGTTTATTGATTTAAGTTGCTGCCACTCTATTGATAGCATAAACTGTAAAGTAGTTAATTTTATTACACCTGTAGTTATCCTCCCAACCTATGGGAGGCAAAGATGACTCAAACCAGATTATCCTACTTCGTCCTTTGCAAAGTTGTTAAGCTAAAAGATGGTGACTTGCCAAAGTGAATATCAGAAGAATAGTTCATCCTCTTCCTATTATAATTATTCATATATAATTGCATATAAATACTGTAATATATAATATTAAAATATTATATTTATAAACAACTGTATATAAAGAATATAATATAAATACAATGTTTGAAACTTGCTATTGCCAATATTTCTTTATTAATAGAACTGGTTTATCACTTACACGGAAATATTTTTGACCCCCTTGAGTGTTTTAGACTGTGGATCTGCTGAGGGTTTTTGTTTGATTACATCACTCAATTGAATGCCAATATTGTTACAGAAGATGGGAGACTTAGGCAACCTGGGCTGATCTGGAGAAAAGCTAAATAGCTGGTTAGTATTTCTATGGGAAATCACCAGGTAATTCCAGAGCTGCAGGCCATACTGGGAAACTGAAAAAGCATCTTGGCTGGGAAAAAACAATAGCAAACCACTTACATATGGTTTTCAAGAAACACAGGGATGTATAGGTAGTCATTAAGAAACAAGCTTGATTTGCAACAGTCTTTACCTCTTAATGTAGGTATTATTTCTTGCCCATTTCTTACACATTCTAAAGCCTCCTAGAAACTCTTACTGTAGCTTAATCAAATTGCCTGCTTGTGCATTGCTTGTAAATGCGATACTGCAGTCTTATATTTCTTACTGCTACTCTACTAACCAGAAGGGTGAAGGAATGTGATTCCATTTCATACAAATGAGACAGCATACTGGCATCTCTCAGTCCGCAAAGGCCAAAAAGATTCAGCCCAAATATAGTGCAGTACTGCAACATTTTTTTTCCCCAGTTTAGGGAAAGCATACAAAGGAACAGTCTCAGTATGCACTTACAATTTCTTTAAAAGTATATGAGTCAGCAACAGTACCTACAAATGCTTTTGTCACTTCAGGATAATAATTGGGCAATGCTTTTAAGCAAGATGCTTTAGATGGCCAGAAGTAGAAGTCAGGATAATCCTGCAGCACTCTGATTAGCTTAAAAATACTGCAGTACATATGAAAACTGAGATTTGGATAAGAGAAGGACCAGATAAGTAGGTAAGTTTCTCAACAACACCTTTGCATAAGGTGGCTAATTGATCATTGGTACTATTGCTATATTATTGCTGCCTTTAAAACAGAACATTCTTGTCTTAACATTAGGTTTATAATGCTTTAATAAAACATCAACAGAGAATGAGAGTGACCTGCACAAAAGCAATTAAAAAAATCTACTGTATCTTGATATTTGGTGGAATTCCATAAGTATGGAACTTCCTTAAGGAAAGTATAGTTAATACTTTCTTAATATTTCAAGCAAGTTATAAAGATTTTATTGCAATCTGCTTTGCTTGAAGTGATAAATTGACAGAAATTTACAATATCCTAGATTTTAAAGTATTTAATTGGTTCAAGGATTATATATTTGTTTTGATCTGTTTTATGCTGTTATGTAAGTTTCAATTTTCATTATTTGTTATATTTTTAAGATACCATTTAATGATTAGAAGTTACATTGGGAGAATGCTGTTCTCTGAAACCAGTAGATGCATCTTTTAATTATTTTAACAATATCTGAGAGTAACTGATAAATGAATTCTGGGTCAGAATACCCAAATGTAACTTTCTTAATGATTTATCTTCATCTTAATTGATTATATGCACACATAATGACAAAGAATATTTCAGCATAATTTGTTCAGATTTTCACCTGACAATCTTAAAAACCTTTATAGCATAGTTTCTTGCATACTTACTATGAAATTAGCACCAGTGAATTTCAGTTGGATTTACAGACACATACTTGGGAACAGGATTGCAATCATATCTGGAACTGTGCCATCTGTTTCAACAAAAAGTACTAATTAGATCCAGATCAGTTTTAATAAATATCTTCCTATGCATATGTATGCTTATAATTTACAGAATGAGAAATGCCTTCATTTAAAATGTATCCATATTTCATTCTAGATTTGCTTGACTTATGCTTAGCACAGTCTTGTGTTTGGAAATCAGTGCATGTATTGCAATATCCACAACGACATCATGTTTACGGCAAGCAGGACATGAATATTTTATCCATCCCACCTGCTGTATATTCCTTTTATAAAGGCTTATATTCATGGTTCCCAAATTGTGAGCCGTGGCATCCCAGAGCACCACAGTGAATTCACAGGAGTGCTGCAGGATCATGAACTACTATCTCAAGGTAGTTTACAATTTTAGCCTTGGGGCACCATGAAGAAATTACCAAGGCACTATGTGGTGGACTTGTGAAGTGGCCAAAAGGTTTTGGTCAGTAATCCACAGGTCATTGATGAAAATAATGGGAATCCCTTTTCAGATAAAACCAGAACTCTACTTACTAGGACTTATGGAAGAAGAATGGAATAAAAAGCAGGGTGTCTTATTGTTATATATGATTATGGTTGCAAGATTATTATACGTGCAGAAATAGAAAAATAACAAAGCTCCAACCATCGAAGATTGGATATTTAAAGTTATGGATTTGGTCGAGATGGCACAACTGACAAGTCTGTTTCTAGAAAGAAATTTACAGAGACTTTTACTAAAGGCTGGAGTCCGTTTATGAATTATATTACGAAGTAGAGAAAAATAGCCTATATATGTGTAGTTAGACATTTAGTTTTGTATTTGTAGGTTTGTTTTTGTATATGTTTATATATTGTGCTTTTCTATATTTTATGTGCAGTATTTTAATAAAGTTATATTAAAAAAAATTACAGACACATTAAGGGTGCCATGAACTGAAAAAGTTTGAGAACCTCTGGCTTATACAACAGAACTGAGAATAGACAATGCAAATTGCTGCACAAACAGCTGATTTTTCCCTTCTATCCTAGTCACATAACCTAAGCAAGAATTAGACCAGACCTCTGGTCCTGCAAAGACAACATAATTCCTCTGAATGAACCCATCATCCAAATTTTTGAATTAGAACAAGAGGTTTTATTCTGAATTAGAACTGGAAGCAGATACTTCCCTGAATGCAATTAAGCCAAATGTCAAACTTTGAAAAATATTTGCTTAATAAAAAAGATTAAAGCAAAACCTTCTCCAAGAGAAAAGCCTAATCCACTTTGTTCAGCTCATGCTACATAAACAAAAGCTGAAGGTATGCTGGAAAACTCAGCCTACATGATGGATAGACTGCACTAGTTAATTTCACGCATTTATATCAGTATTAATTTATCTATGAAGATTTTTCTATGCCTGCATGAAAAATGTTGAACTCAGCTTCAAATGGGCCAAATTATCAGGTGAAATTAATAATATTAAATGATTAAGGGAGCTTTGGTTCTATATCCAGATTAGAGTCCCACTGTTAAGAAAAAGAGTAGAATTAATTATTAACAGCTACTTAACAGCTACTTAAACTTTGGATTATCAATTATTTGGGCGTTACGGTGATGAGATTTAAAATAACTGTCTTAGGAATTTCTATGTTCAACTGCAATTGATGTCAAGAAATAGGCATTTTCAGATTCAGATTCAAATCAGAATCTAAACTAATGCTGAAATATATGGTTGTTGATAGGTAATGATGCCAGGAGTTTATCTAAAGAGAAGAGAAGCCAGGAACAGAAAGCAAAAACTACACTGAATCAATCACTGATGTGCTGAGAAATGGAAATAGAAGAATGAGCATAGTTCTAAATACTGATAGTCCAGGACAAATAAAACAGTGGACCAATATAACAAATAGTCTGAGGGATTGTCAACATAACATTTCAACTATTTCTCTCCCGTTATTAAGAATCAAGCCCTCAGTGATCATATACATGACAAAGGTCCTATCTAGAAGAATAACTATGAATTAAAAACAAGAAGTGAAGGGAGAAAAGAGGAAGGAATGTACAGTACATCCCCGGGTTAAGAATGCCCAGTTTAAGGACAACCCATAGCTAAGAACGGATTCTATTGTAGCAAAAGTTAAATACACAATGAATTGAGTTAAATACACAATGGTTCGAGTTCATTACACAATACAGTAGAGTCTCGTTTAACCGACCTTCGCTTATCCGACATTCCATCTTATCCAATGCCCCTAAAAAAAACACAACAACATGCATAAATCGGCGACGAGAAAAGTGTCTGCTTGTTTGCGAGCGTGAGTGTACTCTTTCATGTTGCTCCTGACGGCGTGGCACCGCAACACAAAAATCGATTGCAACAGGCGCAGCGGATCAGGTTTTTTTTTTTTTTTTACCACACTCAATTGTTACTGTGTGTTATCCGACATTTTCGCTTATCCAACGTTCTGCCGGCCCGTTTATGTCAGATAAGCGAGACTCTACTGTACTACTAATACAGTATTATACAATAATACTGTTCTGGCTTACATACAAATTCAACTTAAGGACAGATCTTGGGAACAGAACTCATTCTTAAACTGGGGATTACCCGTATACAGGTCCCTAAACAATTCCTATGATATACCTTCTTCCATCCAGAACAATGATGGTGCCTGTCCTGTGACAGAATTGCCTTGTACAGGGCTGCCTATCTGGTTCTCTCCTTGTCAGCTGGCATTTCTGATGGAAAACAAATGAGAGCCCTGCTCCAAAACATAGTTTATCTAACTGCTACCACCAATCTCTATTCCCTTTTTAAAGTTTCGAGGTCAGGGTCTATAGCAGTGTTTCTCAACCTCAGCAATTTTAAGATTTATGGACTTCAATTCCCAGAATTCTCCAGCCAGCATGCCATATCTATAGAATACTTTGGCACTATTTTTTTAAGGCTGTGTTCACATGACATGCTAAGGATGACAATTCAGCTAAATGAGCATGCTACATCTTACTCTATATTGTGCATGGCTCTTTAGCCAAGGTTTAGGATTACTGCATTCTGCATTATCCATATATGAAACAGTCATCATTTGTGACCCATTAAAAAATTAGATGAAGATTCTAGTTTCTGGAAGCCCCAAAATGTGGCCAGATTTAGACAACTTAGTAAACTCTAATGCTTGGCTAATGTAAACAGAGTTAAAATGGCTTCATGTGCTCATTAACATAATTTTTAGCTCAGTACATTGTGCAAACATAACAATAACATTTCCAAAAACTAGCTAACAATGTTTTAGCCTACCATGTTGTACAAACCCAACTAAATTGGCTGATTTATGTTTTGGTGTGTTGTGTGAACAGAGAATCATTAAGTTAACCATGGATAAGCATGTTATTTAAACACAATCATTAACTAAAAATATACTAATCTTACCCCGCTTAAGCTCACAGAACTTTAGTAACCTAATTCTATGGCAAAGACATGGGATTAACCGCAACACTGAAAATCTTCCTACATGAGCACAATAACAATGCTTATTAAGGGTTTCATTTTTATAGGAAAGCATAAAGCATCACTTCTCAAGTGGAACAACCTTTCTTGAAGTTCATAGAGGCCCCACCTTGCTAGACTTTCACAAGGTATTCAAAGACCATTTTCCCCCATTAGGCTTTTCTCAGTAATGGTGTGGAGGGATTGTGTTATTTTTTTAATAAAAAAATATTTATTTTATAGGCTGTCTGATTTCTATCCAGACTTTCTTGATGAGATTATTTTTGTTGGGGGGGGGGGCTTGAAAACAAGCTGGGGTGTTTTGAAACAGTGGTGTTTTGTTCTATTATTTTAATAGTTACAGTAAACCACACTGTCTCTTTGAATTGGGGCAGTGTACAAATACTTCTATCAATAAAAAAAATATTAAGAACAAGCCTAAGTGGCTTAACTGTAAATATATCTTTCATGTGTGGTTATTCTTAACTAGCCCTTTGTAGAAAATAGCTCTTAGTGGCTTTTCCCTCAAACCAGATTCCATAGATTTTATTCTTTCTATACAGTTTCCAGGTCTCTTTGCTGAAACTTGAGGGAAACCAGACCTCTTCCACTTTGTTCACTTTAGTGTTTAATGTTAATGGTTCCCTTTTTCCAAGCTCGGTTATACTGTTGGGGGATGCAAGTGACTGTAGGGAAGGGGGAATTTATCAGTATTTCTTCCTTCCCTATTCCATCAGCAAAGATGCTCCATCGGACAAAAGGCATCCGCGGATGAAAAGAGCGCTGTTTTCCATGGGAAACAGATTCTGGAGCCAAACCATTGCTTTGCTATTATATCAATACCTTTAGGAATGTATGCTGAATACATGAAAAGAACCACAAAAGGTAATACCATGAATTTTCATAATCTGTAGCAAAAACTTCCACCTGAAATATTATTTGCCTCACCTGCAAATGCCTCTTTGAGGAAGGGGGAAGTATCACTTGTCTTCAGGGAGGCAGTGAAGTACCCTGTGATGAAGGGGATGTCTCTCAGTCTAGCCTTATTTGGACAACTTTCACCCAATCTCTGATCTTCCCTTTTGGGGAGGATTTTGGAGAAGCTGGCAGGGCTCCAGCTACAGAGAAGGGAATGAATTATCTAAAACCCTTTCAGTCAGCATTCAGGTCTGACCATGGGATAGAAACAGCATTGGCAGCCATGGTAAAGGACTTTTGTTGGAACCAGGATAGGGGGAGCGAAACCCAGATTCAAAAGCTGCAAATGGTTCAAAATGGAGCAGCCCAACTCCTGGAGGGAGGAATTAGGTTTAGCAGTGTTACACTTATGCTGAGATCACTGAACAAGTTACTAATAGGCTTATGGACCTAATTCAAAGTGCCAATATACTTGTAGGATTGTCTTTCCAAGAACCAGCCTCCCATGTGCATTCATCTTATGAGGGGCTGATCCAGTCCCTCACACAAATGATGTAAAAGGAGGAAGAGCAATGAGTCCCCCTATTATGGAATTCCTTGCCTACTAAGCTT